AAAAACTCAATAGCGCCCCCACCGTTTCCGGTAGTATTGCTCCGTATTGATCCGTTTCGTCCGTAAGCGTAAGCTCCCAATTTTCGTGTCAAAGTACGGACGAAATCGACGGTTAGAACGTATGAAACACTCCACATGTATCCGTATCCGTCTTTTACGTGAGGTATGAATGGGCCTTTAAACAGTAGGATTTCTACTTGAGTAATAAACATTGATACTTTTGACACCTCTGAACTGCTGATAAACCACAGGCTTCATTAGTGGTGAGTTTGAAAGTCGACTGTTTACACAGGAAATATTGTATTAGAAAGAGGTTTTAAAAAAAAAAACTTATGAACACAAATGTCTCATTTTCTTCATATGAACAAAAGCATAAATCAGTTTTCTTAAAACTAATATGTACTCGTTTTCCATCCTCAAAATTCCCCAAAAAACACATTGATATTTTTGTTTTTTACAATAGATAATACAAATAGATGAAAGGGGTATGAGCTTTTTCCAGGGCACTGCATCTATCACATCCAAGGCCTCTAGATAGAATATTTAGGCCATTATTTGTGTCTCAGCTGTGAATCTGTGCCGGGTTTAAGTTGCAGGTTACAGCAGTACTACCCTTCATTATTCACAGCTACTTTAATGCACAATGTCTGTCAGCTGAACACAACTGCCAGAGCTATTTTACCCTCCAGTTGAAGAATAATAGCAGGGAAACAGCCGTAACAGGCAGCAACAAGACTGGCATACAACATATAACCGAATGAGTGTCAGAGTCAAAATGGTGAAATAAAAAACACAACTGGGTCTCTAATACCAATTACTATACAGGTTTGTCCTCTATTACTGTCACAAAATGTTTGAGGGAGTCCGATGTAAGCACTGTGACATTACCCACTAGCATGTGGACTGCCGTTTTGAAGTCCTGGGTTTGTCCTTTGGCGGTTGCCATCTTGGATTTTCAAGCACATGACTGACGTGTAAGCGGAGCGTTGGGGAGCTGCCGCAGTACTTCTCTGTCATACGACGTGACAGCGATGGAGACCCAAATATTTGTGTTACATCGGGACATAAAGCTGTTTGTTTTTGCATAAAAGATGGATTTTTAGAACAGCAGTGTGTGGAGATGGAGTCAGAAAATATATTTCATGGTCATTGAAACATTGAAGCAGTAGTTTCAGGACAAATTAAGTAAATATCTACATGAGTGTTTTAATGATAAAATAATGTCCTCTA